CTACCCCCTACCTACATCTATCATATTTTTAATATTAACCTATAAGTGTCATAATTCTAATATTCACGATAAAAAATATAGCCATGGTATTATTTTAGTAGATGTACAATAAATACCTAGTGTGTTAGCAGGTGTAATTTTCACCTGCATTTTAGTTTTTGACAAGAATTTGTCAATGTGATGATTTTATGGGTTTTACTTATTATAGGTATTTACGTCATAATATATACATAAAGTTGGCCGACAACTATTTTCAAAATAAATACAATGTAATAATATTATATAAAGGTGTAATGGCGTGCTTAGCTTTTTGGAAAGGGTGGGGGAAAATCAATTTTTGACTATTCTCAGAACACTTTATATATATATTATATATATATATATATACGTTTTGTATGACAAAATTAACCCAAAGGGGGGGGGGGGTATGATATGCTCAGTCCCCACATAAGCATGCCCCTGTAGAGAGGATTCATTAAGTTAATTTAAACAATAATTTTCTTAAAAAGTCTTAACATTCATGGAAATATATTTTATTTTGGATACTTTGAAGTTATTCCAAAATTATATTTTTACTACTTTTTTAGTATTGTTCTCTATTAAAAATCCAATTAGTAATTTCCTCACGTAGACCATATTAATACCCACAAACTAACTTAGTCATAGGTTTTAATGTCAAGTGATTTTTATAGAAAAAGAAAGCCAGGCAAATCGACAAGGTACGTTGGTACCATTATAAAAACAAAAGATATGGTTCATAACACAATGACAATAATGTATTGCTATATAAAAACTGATGGCATTAACCAGCTGTAACTTGCGGATTAGTGCGTCTTCGATCAGCCACCGATTCCAACCAAATTATTAAATAGATTATTGATAAAAATTCTGACTTTTGAAATGATTATTTTCATTTCATGCATTGGCAGGTAATCGTTGAATTCTCGGCAATGTTTTCAACATTTCAAAGTGTTTTCGTTGAACGTTTACCCTTCCCATACGCGTTTGGTACCCTGCCAATAACGTATACGTATAATACTCGTCATCTTTGTATTACGAGCCTTTTAATATTAACCACTTTTAGCCACCGAATTTCGATATTTTTATAAACCACGCGTATTACACTTATCGACGACGGCATGTATAAACGCGTAAGTGTATATTATGATATAATATTATAATAAATTATTGCTCCCCGCGAAGAACAAAACGAGGGTCTGTGGAGAGGATCGGTGGTAAGAGAAAGCCCGAACGGCGACGAAATGCCACAATATATATACAGCGTGATGAAAAAAACTGCAGATGGGTGGGCACACTCGGCAGCGGGGTCTCCGAAAACCGTTTGTAGGCGAGGCGCAAACGTTTTTGCGCACACCGTACAAAACGGGCATTAATTTTCCGGGCCAAAACGTTCGCGTTCCATCATTCCGCGCACAAATCTGACAACAACACCTGGCGCGGCTCGAGACTAATTGACGCGCGGCCGCCACCACCGCTGAGGGTATATTTTTTTTACCCCCTCCAGACCCCGCGATAACTCGGCCACCGGTCGAGGGCTGCACGCTCCCGGAATGGGGATTCTAAAAAAAAATTGCATTTTTTCCTTTGGTCGCTTCGGGTTTCACACCCGAAGCCAATACCGTTCGTCTTTCTCGTTACTATATACGAGGTGATAATTTGGTTTTAGTAATTTGTAATTTTTTTTTAACGTTATACCACTACCAACGCGTTATAATGATAATATGCAATCGCTTATTCGTGAATCTGATCGCATCGAGAGGAAACTCGAGACGAATCCATATTAATTATACGGCACTACAGGAATTCTTTGACCCGATAAACCTACCACGTCGAAAGCTATTAAGTATTGTATTATACCTACTGTGCATATTGCATACGTAATTCAATATTATATTATATGTATACAATATAGGTATACCTATAGGGTGTATTTGGAAGATTTTACAATAATATTACACTGCAATTATACATTTCAATATGTAATATATTTCAGACACACACTGTACAATTTTTTTTCATCCTTATAGTTAATATTCAGTATTTTTACAAGTTTCGTAAAAACCAAAAAAAAAAAATTTAACATAACAGTTAAGGTCGCATTGAAATATAAATTAACATTTTAAATAGACGGAACCCACTATCTGGTTAATTTTTGTAATTTATTTACTTAATTTAATAAAGAAAAACTTAATTTAATTTTGTGAAAATAACTCATTCAGCTAGGTATCGAATAATTAAACACTCAGCGTTATATATTTTTAGCGCCCAAGTATATCACTACGGCTATAATTATATTAAAGTTGTTATTATTATAACTCGTAAATAGAAATAATATTTATTAATTAAAGTTTCTCATTTCTCAGCATACAAGAACATTGGTTTCGACTTTTGATATGAATGTGTATTTAATAATTTAAAATAGTCTATAGAACTTTCTGTTATACAAATATTAATTCTATAATTGTTTTAATAATAGGCAAGTTATGTTATGAGCAACATAAAAGTAAAATAAAATATAACTTTAATAATAATGTAGGTTGATAGACCGTTTTCGCTCAGAATCGTTTTTTGTACACAATGATTTATCAATAAATTCAAAATTAACATAATTTACCAACATTATAGTGACTCACTCGCAACGACGAGATGCATTCGACACCTAGCAAAGTGGGTATCTATTCCCCCCCCCCTCCCCTTCCCTTTTTAGATTAATTTCGAAAGCTTATTTTTTGTCTGCCATAATTGGAATGTATTAATTGGGCCACAAATCAATATAAGAAATTCCTAAAACATAAAATTGTAATATTTAAGTATTTTACATGATAAAAAACAGATAATTGACATTAAAAATATCAAAGACATAATAAACATGTTTTGTTAGATATTTCTGGTAGGTACTTAGAGATTGTTATTATATATTTATATATAAATTCAGTGAGGAGTTACTCCATAAATACATGCATATATCGAATTCGTATAATTTTTCAAGACTGCAGAGTATACCTCAGGATACCTCAGCACTTTATACAAGTATAAACACTAAAAATAATTGAGAAATGTTTAACTTTTTGCATGAAATATAATAATATGTGCCAAACATAGACTTATACGTAAACTGTAGTATATAATCATGTACAAGTTACAGCAAAAAAGCACTTTTCATGATTAACTATAACAATTTTTTATGGCAGCTTTTAGATGATTTTTAAATTATCAATTTTTTACACGGAACAAGAAGTCTAAATCAATATGACTTAGCTACCTATATATTAAGTATATGGTGGTCTTGATCTATATTTATTTTAATTTCTTTGATAAGACTTCGTTTGTTGTTATTTTTCCAAGCAATTAATAATCAATCCTGAGAAATAATTAAAATGTTAACTATAAACTCTTAACATTGTGTCGAGAAATAGTACTTTTCCAGTTTCTTTTGAAGCACTGATGATTTAATTGAAATGTGATATGTTGCATTATTGTTGCATTTAAATATGTTTCGATTCATCTTTTATTGAAGAATTTACAATCTAGAATAGATAATAAAACAATTGATCTATATAATATTGTGTTTGGTTTGTTACTCTTTGAAGAACAAAAAAAAAAATACGTTATTTTTCAACAAGAACAAAATCTTCTGAACAAAGTATGTCAACACAGATTGTAAACTATACTTGTGTAGTTCAATTCCATTTTCTTTTTTTCATTTCGTTTGTTTACTTCGAGACAATCAGTGTTTGAGTATTGCGGTTTTAATTTAAGACTTATATTTGTTATAATAGAGTAGACAGGACAGATTTAGTGTACTCTTATTTTTATGAAGAGAATCATGAATTATAAAAACAAAACACAATTACCGAAGGTAAAGATGAACTCTACCACAGTAAAAATATGTTTAATCAAATGAATAACTTTAATAATGGGTGAATGAAACCGTAACGATTGGAATTTAAATATAACGAATTTCAAAACTGCTCTTAAAAAAAATAAAAATGTCATTCATCGTCTGGTATAAACGATATAAATCATATGATTATAATCTTATTTGAATTTTGTAAATTTCTTTCTCGGTCAAAACATATTTTGCTGTTTACAACTTTTTGTCGGTTCATTTGGGATTTGAACTATATAAACGGGTAGACACTGCACGATATGAGAAAAAAAGAACGAACAGCATTTTACAATAATTTAATACTGTTTTATAATGTTATAATCTGCAGAGAAACGTTTTTTTGTTTTTGTTATTCAACATTTTCCAAATGCACCGGCAGCCACGGACATTTGTGTGCTTTATGGGGTAATTATGGAATTCGAATTTGTTACTGTAAGTTGCAGAACTATTGGGGTTTAGGTTTGGGAGCTCGGCGTCGGCGGCGGTCGGTAACATGGCAGTCGAATCTATTACGTGCGACATTAGAGACCGATACGCAGGGCCGATCGCATTAAGCCAGCTAACACAAAAGTTCTGTACCAACTCCAACGGAAAAAGTTGTATTAACAACATTTTTCATTAGAATTTAAATGATTTCGATTTCGAAATTACCTCTTCCGCGAGTTTTCTGCGTGTTCTATTTAAACAACTCAATCATAGTATCGTACTATATGTGTTATTTCCAACATTTCGGTGTTTTCTTGCACATTTAGCTGTTGCATTATTAATAACTAACAGTATTAAACCCAAGGACGCCTCGTAAATTCAATGCGATATTGGGTTTTATTTTTCTTAAGTGTTGTTTACGTTTATGGTGTAAATATATATGAAATACGTTAAAATATTTAATAGTGAATGTTGCAGATTAAAAACTAACATATCGCACTTCTTTGTGCCGAGATTAAATACACGCGTTCACAATATGTATATTCGAAAAACAGTGGGAATATTTCACGTCCCGCACAGAGTATTCACTGCACAATACTTTCATCGAATAAAAAACAGAAACGAAAATAAAAATATGGTTGTATTATAAAATTAATGTACTTACATCAACATGCACTCCCGTAACATCAAATACTTGTACTTCTGGCGATTCCCCGGGCAGGAATCTATAAAACTCGTTTCCATCCTTGTACCATTTGACCGTGTACAATTTTTCACCCTGTAGGTCATATTTGCACTCTAGTCGTGTACTGTTTCCCACGAGAGTGTGTTCCTCGATTTTCAACTCCGTGAGTCTGAGGCAAAATGCTGAAAAAATAAAGATATTTTATTCGTAACATATAAATCACTCTAATAAAACTAGTAGGTATCTATAATGTACGATTTAATAATTATGTATTATAAACATTTTTTATCAGAACTGGTAAGTGTAATGTGTACGGTGTATACATATGCGTATACAGTAAGCTATTTGTCTGGAATCGTATCATCAATTGTATCCGTATGATAAAATGTATATTTTAATACATTTTATACTAGTAAACTATTTTATCATATGGTTTTAACAGAAAAAGTTTAATTAAGTGCGAAAGTTAGTAAAAATAAGAAACTAAAATATATATTAATATATAAACATATAAATATAGTTTATTCTAAAGGAGAACTAAAAAATACATTACAGCCTAAGTCATTATCATGGGATCGTCCTCAGATAAATTTTCGGTTGGGATTTCTGAATGGCGATTGTACACGGGTAAATATTTCTAATTAAATTATTAATGGGTTTAATAATATTGATACAAGAGATGAACACAATACTCAATTAGTAGTGCAGATTTTCAAAGCCTTGAAAAATAAACTTAATGAAAACGAATTTTTAGGTTAAACGAACACTCGTGGTAACGAAAAAAATGTGACAAATATGATTTGACACAGCTGCTTTTTTAAAAATTAATTTGAAACTCTGTTTTCTTCCTGACACACTTATAAAGTGATGAAAGAACACAGGATATGATATTGAAAATTACTTGAAACTACGTAGGTATATAGTGGAAGAGATCCTCTTGGTGTACGTTACATATGCGATCACTTAACCCACATTTCACAGTTTCATACAAAACCAAAAATGAGTTATAATAATATTATGTCACAGAACATTTTGAACGGCTCAATCAATATGACACAAATAACTTTATTATTAACAATGTCAACAGTCAAACGTGTTTAAAGACAGTTTTATATATGGTAATAGTTAAGATTATTATATTGTTCTAATTTTAGATGACATTTTTTTTATGCATTTTCATTAAATAGTAAAGTATAGCTAGGTAAACTTACAACATTTTCCTTCAAACTGTTATGTTATATTTACGTAAAAAACTATAAATTATAAAACATATTAATGATTGTCGAGTTTAATAATATAATATTACATAGTAAATAAAAGTAAAAACGTATAAATTAAAATTTATGATATTGTAGACTTCAATATTCCCACATTTCACTCTTGAGTTTAAATGTAATAAAGTATGCAATTCGTAATCGAAGGTTATTTATAATGTTTCATTATACACTTACCTATTAGTTATTGTGAGTGTTTAATGAATAATTTTTTTTTATATATATTATAATCTTTTGATCTACTCATTTTGCAAGTAGATTACCGTTTATGAATATAAAATAATATTTATATTAAATTATAATAATACTCATCTAAAGCTTAAAATAATATAATCGCTGCAAAGTCAATAAAATATATATTCATGCATACATATCGAACGTATACGATAATATGACTGTATAGGTAGTAATAGGTAGTATATATTATGTGATACCAGAAGCGTGACGCATCAAACTTTTACGCAACGTACAATATTCATAACCCATTATAATTTTTATATATTATGTGACATTCGCGATGGTTTATTATTATAACAAATATCATTCAACGCCAACAGTCTTGTGGGCACTTTGAAAAATACATAAATAACACTATTAGAGATAAATTCAACGTCGCGGACAGTGAATTATTTCCGAAATTCGGATACAAAAAAATAAGATTAAAAAAAAAACATGTTATACCATATACTGTGCGTAGTGACCTTTTTTGGGTGATTTAGAATTTTAGATAATTCCATCTCCGGTTTAATGCAAAACAAACGAGGAAAAGACAAAGAAAAAAAATACTATCATAGCTTGCATGTTATTTTTTACACGTGCGACTATCTGGAACACGACGGAGGTTATTAAAAGAACAAAGTGTTCCCATATCAAATAATATAGTCCTCAAATTTACGACCGTAATAATAATATTATTATCATCGTTGTATAATAATAATAATAATAATATTTTTAAAACATAATATTTTTGTATTACGCACAGACAAACACGGCGCTCTGTGCTGGCAATATGTGTACATCCATGCGTAGGTATATCGCTAAATTAGTTCAAGCGAGCACAATAAAAACAGTCGGGAACAAAAAAAAAAATGTATAAATAAAAATAAAATCGAACATAACGTACCCACCTATCTACGTTTTTAAATTTTATTTTACGACTAAATATTTTGCGAATTATGACATTTTCTTTGGCCCTCAATAAATATTTGTTGTAAAATTGTTGCTGTATAGCAAGTTATTTTTTAGATTATGCGAATTATTTTGTTATGACCATACCCTTTTTATATAATTTGAGGTATAATAATATACATATAAAAAAAAAACATTTGGTTGTTTTCAATTAAAAACATTTCACATCGTGATTAAATAATTTATTATGTTCTATACGTCACAATTTAAAATATAATGTATTATTTAAACTTCAACTGAAAATGTACATCAGAATATAAACTTAATGGCGAGGTAGTTAGATACATAATTTTTATTAAAATAAACAAATGCGATACAAATGTTGTTGTTAAATCTATGGGAAAATAACATTTTAAATAGAAATTTAATTTAAATTAGGTTTCTATATACCATCTGTAGACCAATACATGGCTTTGATTTGACATTAGTATGAAAATAGTTAAATATTATTCAAAAACATTTTCAAAAATTGAACCAATTATTAGATATTTATTTTTAAACAAAATGTACGATATAATTACATGGGAAATATAGCACTGTTGTATGGTAATACACTCGACTTATAGCAGGTAGTTGTCCTGTAGATTATATTTCATCTTGTATTATTCGCCAGGTTGAAAATATTTGAATACAGTGTTGCAGTTATTTGCAAATAATAATATTTATTACCCTAGAATCATTTCGCGGTATCTACCTACTTGTGTTGACTTCAAGAGTTCTAAAAAATGATGCTAAATTGTATTTTCAAATAACATTTAAAAGTTGGATTGACAAATTATGAACTGTGTAAACAGTTTACAGAAAAAATAGTCAGGTCAAACTGCAAACCAATACTCAAAACAGATTCATTAATACAACCTAAAAATATTTATTATGAATAAAATTGATATATTATAATTTATTAACAAGATTAGATGACACAACGAGGCAATAGAATGAAGCATCATATACACCACTATGGCACTATTACGAGATGAGCTAAACGAGAATAATATGATATTAAATTATTAACCAACAAAATATGGTCACGTAGGTAAGAATGTTTTTTAAATGAAATTAATAATATAAAAAAATATAGGTTGATTGGTACTTATTATACCATTTTTTCACGGAAAAAGAGTTTGTTTATTTTTACCTAAGAACAGTAAGAACTATTAACAAAAATTATTACTTTTCAACAATAAAAAGAATAGTTTATGTTAAGTTAAAATTATTACATCTTATCTTACGATATTCTTTTCGATTTGCAATAAATTGTCGATGAACATGCCAAACAAAAATAGTAATAAATTCAAACACGGACCAAATTTAAAGAGCTACATAGTACATATAATTTACTGTTGTTTATAGACGCTATTGTATATATATTATAAATGATTACTTTATAATAAGAAGCTTTCAAGACTTCACACAATCGGAATTCAGAGCACGGATTACGCGAGCTCCATCGTGAAACGAAAAATTGTATTTTATTTATTATTATTATTTTTTTTTTTTGTCTTTTCTCCGGCGTCTCTATCTCTTTTTTCCGCCCGCTGTCAACGTCCCGGACACCAATCGCTTTCACAAATTGAGCTGATCCGCCGGTAGACTGGTCGCGTCTCAATCACCACGACAGGAAGCGAGAAAAACATATAATCCGACGTGAATATAATTTAGTTATGTTCATACTGTGTGTACCTATATAATATTATATAAAATATTAAACTTTATAAATTGATGTTGTCGAATGACGACGACGAGTATACGACGTAAAGTGACACGCGTTTATACTTATGCTTAATAATTTGTTATTATTAAAATATTTGGCCATGTGTGTTTCGATTTTACACATTTTTTTGTTTTTTTACACATTTATTTTATCAACACAAATAACACTCCATATGTACAGGTTATGTACATACGTGTACATCATATAAACATCATATCATTTGTACAGATAAAACAAATCATCTAGAGGTATTAGACCAAGACATTAAAGTTAAATTGAAAAATATTAATATATATATTTACTTAAACTTTCAACAGTGCAGGTAATAAATAATACAAATACAAATATTATAATTTTAAACATTTGGGTTGATTGCAGTGTAATTATTTTTATTCATTGACACTATTTGAAGGTGACGTTTGATATTAGGAACTCTTAATTTTACGAACTCAAGTATCTCAGCATAATTTAATTTAACATTACCCAGATAATTTATGGAGAATCGTTAGGTAGGTATACAAACTCCTTGATTTTTGAGATCTAAATCTAATTTTTTTATACATCTTTAATCGATAACTTTTTCATTCAGCAGGGAGGTGACAACTGCAACTTCGGATTACTCCGATTTCTTCTAACGTATAATTATCTATTTTGATAAATTGAGAGCGTCTATAGATGATTACATAATTTATGTATAATGAAAGATATTTCTTAGTTTGGAAATAAGAATGCCATTGTCACCTGTGTCCAAGGATTTTTTCAAGTCAGTGTAAACCTCGAGATACCAAATTTTATCAACCATTATTATGAATTTCACAATAAAAAGCAGACAAATTTTTTGCTGATGAGTAAATAATAAATATCAAATAGTTTTTTTTTTTTAAATTTGTTCTATTGATTTAGTGAACCATAACTTTTTTGGAGTACGACTTATCGCCATTTTAAACAACTCGTCTTACTTCAAAATAAGAACACATTCCTCATATAGTTCTGAACCTAAAACACTATT